TTGACCTGACCTTCGCTACGCAACCCAAGGTCAAACTGATGTGATCAGTAAATACATCTTTTTAAACGCCACAACTTTTGTCTGAAACATTTTTTTGTAAAACTTATATTTTTCCTGATATTCGGGCGTCCCGGTACTTTCCGAACACCCTGTATATGTGCTGATAAAAAAAAATTAAATGTTGGTATATAATATCGGTAATAAATTACCGATTGTTGATATTATGTAAATATGCTGGTTAAAATTATGTAAATATATGTTGGTAAAAAATTAAATATTGGTAAAAAATTAAATGTTGGTATATAAGATCGGTAATAAATTACCGATCGTTGGTATTATCGGTATTGTGTAATTATATGTTGGTAAAAATTATATGTTGATAAAAATTATGTAATCAAATGTTATATAATATCGGTAAAAATTATCGACCGTCGGTAACATCGGTATGCCCTACCCAATTACCGACTGCTGATAACCTCCTTTCCCACGGTAACGTCACCCCCCCCGTGACGTCACCCCCCCGTGACGTCATACCCCCCGCCCGCGGTACCCCCTCGGAGGAACTGAGTTAGAACCGGCCTACCGGCCTACCTACTGCCAAGCAAAGAAAATACGTTACATCGTACATTCTTGACTATAAAGATAAACATTGTTCAAGATATTGAGTTTAGTAAATTAAATCGCTCAGAAATTGATAATCTTTTTGAACAGATATAGGAACGAGAAGTAGATAAAAAAGCGGAAACAGATGGACACGTGTTATCTTCCACACATTGGCGTAACTAACAGCAATAAGCCTGGAAAATTACGTGTAATATTTGACGCTGCCGCGAAAGTAGCGGGAGTTTTCAATGTACGACACTGGTTTCACTGAACAACTAACTATTATCGAGGCCGAATTTACTTAATTCCCTATTAGGTGTGCTTATGCACTTCAGACAGGATTGTGTGGCTTTCATCGCGGATATAAAGAAAATGTTTTTACGTATCACGACACAGTATCGAGACTAACAGGCATTACGTTTTTTATGGAAAACCAATATTTCTGATCTAGAACTTAAAGACTCACATAACATTAGAATATACATAGCATATTCCGTATATAAATATTTATGTATATTTATATATATTGCATATCCTATGAATTACATACAATGTCTGTACATCCGCAAAGAGGCATATAGAATGTTCCATGCTTATACATATGTATATACTCCTGCATTCTTTACATATCCATGTACATACACTCTGTATATTCTCTGAATATACATAACACATTCATGCTAATATGCATTAGCACGTGTAACGTATATACATAAAACATTGTATATACATAATGTATGTAAAAAAAATATTTGAATATACATAAAAAATATACATAAAAAAATATTTGAATAACCATAGCGTCAGGTAGCTCAGTTGTTTAGAGCAGTCGCCCGGCAAGCGAAAGACCTGGGTTCGAGTCCCAGCCTAGCAAAACCACGCTCTCGATATTTTTCTCTCTCTGAAACGAAAAGATATGCAGATCTCGAACGCACGGCGTCCCGCCGCCACCTAGTATGCCCTCCTCCTTCTATGGTAGACAGCACAAAGTATTTATAAACTATATGTTCTTATTTTTCACTTTATATTGTTTTACACGCTACTTAATTCAATTTAAATTGTACTTCGAAAATTTTCTTACCATTGCAAAGATTCGAACCTAAGACTTCTGGCTCTTGAGTCGTTCGCCTTACCTACTGCACCACTGTCACTTTAACTGAGAGACGCTTTGTATTTTATATATATGGTATCTATGTACGAAAACAAATGATTTATTTAAAAGAAAAGAATAGATCTTTTTAAATGTAAAAAGTATGTTTAAAAAGTATGTAAAAAGTATATTTAAAAAATATTTACTTGTTTTAAAAGTAAGTAAAATACAAATAAATCATTTGTAAATTTAAATAAATTGTTTCCTGATGATAAAAGAAACTTTAATTTGAAACACAAATAGATACTTTTAATATTAGAAAATAATTTATTTAGATTTATAAAATGATTTACTTGTACTTTATTTACTTTTAAAAGAAGCAAATATTTATTTAAACATAGTTTTTACATTTAAAAAAATTAATTTTTTTCTTGTAAGGAAATTATTTTTTTACGAATATTTATGAGTATTTATGAGAAAACGCTCATTCTATGAGTAATTACGAAAAATTATGAGAAAATTTTGTACCAAAAATTTAATTGAAGAACCTACGAAACGACAGGATCTGCGCACAATCTGCCGTCAGAGTTTGTTGGCAGGCTCTGCACGAAATCTACCGCCAATCTGATCAGAGTCTATTAGCAGATCCTGTCAGCAGTCTGACGGCAAATTGGGGACGCAGATGACTATGGATCTGTCGACAGATCCTGTTGCCAATCTGACGTCAGTCTGCGCACAGATTGCTTAGTGGATATACAGAGTGTCAAACAAAAATT